AAAGAGTGTAAAGTGTTAAAATACAAAAAGCTTCTTTGGCCCTTTTGATAGAGGTACCTTAAATGTAAACAACTGCAATAAGAGCCTTCTAGATGTGGATGTTTATTTCTTAAATTGAAGATGTATGTCCTTGTTTCTCAAAGACAAGGTCATTTCCTTTCCAACAGAACACATTTCTTGTATATTGGGATTTGCTTTCAAATGCCTTAGTGATGAAAATCCCTGTATACTACTATAAAGAATCATGTTCAAAAGATCAGAGAAAAGCATTACATGACATTACACTGTAGGTTTTATTAATGGTAAATGTTGGCATTTATTTTTAAATGCTCAGATGTTACTAAGCAAGTTTTCAACAAAAACTAAATAAGCAACAAACACTTGCCATACAGAAACTATATTCACAAACAAGACTAAATTTAATCCAATATGAAACTTTAAAAAACTGAAAAAATACAAAGCCAAATACTGCTATAAGTCAATTAAATTGCTGTTTATCATTGAATATACTGTATTGAGAATGACACAAGCACACTGAACTAAACAGAAAAATAATTTTGCGGATTTAGTCTATATGACTAACATTAAGAATAACATGCAATTTGTGATTTCCTTTAAAAAGACTTAAACTGAATCACTTGAACAAGGGTCTTTATTTATTTATTCTCATTTGAAGTGAAAACAACCTGTATTTCCCAAACAGCCTTTCCTTTCATACTAAAATAGCAAATAGTGTGAATTCTATCTCCTCTTCCCAGATGCTACTTATAGATGACTTTGCATAATGACAACATAGAATTACTTTCTGGTAACAGTGTCATGGCCATAAATAATCAGTTTTTAAAAAACAAATATCAAGTGCAAATCTAGAAAACTTCCTTTAAAGAATTACCCAAACCCAGCACATATGCAGTATTGCTATTACATGAGCTAAGCAATATGACTTATAAGCGTGTATATCATGATACACGTGCTCTAAAGACCACCTTCTATAAAGATTTAATAGTGATGCCAAGTTAATAATTCTTTCAAGGCACTAAAGAATTATGTAGATGGAATTTCCAAAATATAATTAACATTGCTTGAACTGTTAAAAAGCCCTGAGTCAGAACTTTCAATAGCTTCCTGAAATAATAGGTCTCCAACAAAATGGCACGCTTGTTTACTTTATAAAAAAATTACAAAACCATTTTGCTTTTTGGAGGAAAGAAGTCATGTTTAAGAAATGAAATCAGGGAGACTATACAGAAAAAGTAAAATATTCAGCAATATAAGCTTTCTGAAACATTTTGTACATGTCAATTATAACTTGTAGTTAGGGATTTAGGCACCAAATTAATGTGACAAGTCACTTCTCCTATAACTATTGCTTAAACTCTCAACAAAACAAAATCAATTTTAACTTCAGGTTCCCATTTCCTCTTTATTCACAAGTAAGAATAAATGCTGGAAAAAGTAATACTCTGACAGAAAAGGAGGTAGAAAATGCCTATGTAGCAATGTACAATTTTAATTAATCAGCTCCACTAGCTGGTTCATATTTTTATACCGTACATAGTTTCACTCAACACTAACCACTTATCAGTAAATTGAGACTCAATCTAAAGGATTTTCCTCCTCACTGTAATAAAGCAGTGTACACATGGGACAGTATTAAAGAGTTTCCTTACATTTAATGTTTTAAAGAAGCACAACTGTAATCACTAATACTGCTACAGTTATAATGTATATGTTAAAGTTTCAAGGCTATATATGATTATCAAGTAATACCAGTAAGCATTCCTATTGTAATATTTAAGCAAATGAAATCATTGCCTTTTTTGAGAGAAAAATTTATTTGAAACCTTGACGAGTAGACTTACAGACAATCGACATTTTCTAAACAAGGCACACATAATTATAAGTTCCCAATTTAGCAAAAACTCAAAGTTAACCCTAACTCTGATATTTAAAGCTGTTTCTCCCCTCAGGCTCAAAATGAAATAACAAACCCTTCCAACTATTTAAGATCTACTCAATTATAGCTGATAACAATCAGAGGAAGGGAGACAAATGCTGTCCCACCACCAAATTTCAGGAACTTGATGTTTACCATGACTTTAGACCTTGCAAACACAAACAAAGAACTACATAATTAGGGTGTTTCTTGACTTAACATATGATCAAAATTCTATTCCACTGATGGGGAGAGGAAAAGGGGGAATTACTTAATAGGGAAAAAGTTTTAGTCCTAAAATATGAAAATTTTCTGGAGATCTGTTTCACAACAATGTGAATACACTTAATACTACTGAACGATATTTGAGAAAATTTAAGATGATAAATTTTATGTTATGCATTTTTACCACAATAAAAAAAGCAGAAAAAACTATTCCAAAATTCATTTTTTATTCAAATTATCATTATAAAACATATTAGACACTCTGAGAGAGTAAGTGCTTTTCCTTGGATTAAAAAAAAAGCAAGCTAAATTAAAGCCTGTAATACACAAATATTAAGCTATACTAAAATTGATTGGCTGAAACCCTTATTATTCAATTAGATATGCTCTCTCCACTAATGCTCTGATTATGTGATTATTTTTCTCTACAAACGCTTTTCTTTCCTGCTTACTGCAACTCAGTGTCCTGCCCCTACCTTACCTTCTCCCTGATAAGTCTGACTAATTCTTAGTCCAAAAAGGGTCCAGAATTCAGAATAACAATGACAACTAGGCAACACTTAATTAGACAGTATGTTTCTACCATGTAAAACTGATCAGGCAAACTCTGACATTTCTTTTTTTTTTTAATTTTGCTATAGGACATGTGTACTTGACAGAGACAGAGAGAAAAGGTGACAAATCACCCCTAGAGGGGATGGCCACACTGCCATTACTTTTTCATCCTCCTTTCAAGTTTTTGGAGAGGCATGCACACATACGTGCCCAGTGTGTTTTCCAAGCTGCTGGGTCAGGAATTGAACCATGCAATTGGCCATGTGGGATCCAGCTGCCTTACCACCAGCCATTTTGGACAAATTTTAAGCAGCATGTATTTTAATATGCTAAAATGCTTTTATACACTAATGCCATCAAATATATAAATTTAAGAAAGTTATTTTCAATATTATCAATGAATTTTATGTTTCAATATTCAGCTGGTCAATTTGCAATGGTTAAAACTACAAACATCTTAAGCATAATTTGGCCAGCTAAACCAAATACTTGTCTAATATAATATTCCTACATTAATACAAAATTATCTTCTTTTGAAAATCTTGCTCTCAACCAAATTAAATACATATAGTATAAGCTGTAAGAACGTTGAGTTACATGAACAAATACAATTAGAATAGCACCATCTGGTAGGTTATTTGTGTGATTTGAGTAACAAAGCTGACAATCTTATAATAAAGGAAAAAATGTGGTAAGGGTGATGGGTACAGAGAAGGAATCTAAATACCACTGAGTGTCAACTCTTTAGAAACATATGGAAAAAACATTAACAGTACCTTTGCATCTCAACCTTTTAACTACTGATTACCTTCAAATATAAACTGCTAACAGAGAAAACAGAATGTGGTAAGATACTGACCATTTTTTTCAATGCTGTATAGATACACAACCCCTGAAGCCCAGTATATACTACTTCTGAATGAATGTCAGTTTGTGTGTTTTCTAAACTGGAAAAGTAAAAGCTCTTTTGAGGCACAGGAGAGATTTAGACAAAGAAGAAAAAGCCCACTTAACTAGAAGTACTGCCAAGAGATCAGAGGTAGCAGTTTCAGAGTCGGAGGCAAGTCACTTATATGATTTAAGTTCTGAATCCTTTTATCTATCACAAACTCAAGATAAATTTTTAAATAATTTTTAGGTCCTTGAAAACATGAATAGAGGAACATTTTCAATTAATAAATTTCAAAGTGATACAAATACAGAAAATTCACAAGTTCCTAGCAATAGGATTAGGACTATGACTTCTATAACAGAAGTTTATAAGTAATATTTTAAATATGGAGGAAATAAACAAACTAAAAGGTAATATAACCTTTTAGAGACATAATTACCTTTAAGATATTACCTTTTAGAGATGTAAGTTTTAGTACTGCAGTTCAGAAGACTAAGTTACTTGTTTCAGAACAGCAGGGCTGTAGATGACAGAATTCTGATTGGCCAAACTCTGAATGAGTCAGCCAGGTGCATCCTTCTTATTAGCTGATCTCCTAGGGAAAAAAAAACAGCCTACTGCATGAAAGAAAAGGAAAATCCTGACTTATACTGTTTTCAAATCTCTAAGAAGATTGTCTCTTTATGTGAACATAACCAATATAATTCTTGTTTTTTGTCTTTTGTTTTTTTATTTTGCTATAGGTCATTTAAGTTAGCTGGGGGGTAAGAGAGAGGGAGACAGAGAGAGCGAGAAATCTCACCCTGGGGGGATAGTCTCACAGTAATCCCTTCCTCTTTATTCTTGTTTCAAGGTTTTGGGCACACATACACACATGCCCAGCATGTTTTTCAAGCCTCCAGGTCTGAGACTGGAATGGAGGAGTTGGCCATGTGGGATCCAGATACCTTAATCACCATGCCACCCACTAGCCCAGACATTCTATTTTTTTAATGACTCCGAAGTTCAGTTTAAAAATAGCCTCAGTGGCCCCTTATTAGATAACTGGGTAGAGTCAGTATCAAATTTGAAATTTACAAAACATTTACTGTTCTAAGTAGTAAAGCTATTCAGCTTAACATAGATATTGAATTGCCGAGACTGCAAAACCAATCAGCAAAGCTTTCCATTGCTTAAACAGCCAGAAATACAGTGTTATAAGGGTTACAGACTCTGTACTTTCAAATGTAGTTATATAGTAGGAAAACTGAAATAAGAAAAGCTAGCCAAATTTAAGGGAGGAAAATGAAAAAAGAAAAAAAGTAACTGTCCTTAGGAGTAAGCTTATAAATACTATATATAGAGAAGACATTATTGTAAACAGCTGATATTTTTATAATCTAGCAGCAATGAAACCCCCCCCAAACACTTATGTGAATATTTACCCTAGATTCATAAGATTTTCTCCATCACTCATAGGAGAGAAAATGATTAGATACTCTTGAGTTAAAGTCTGTGTTTAAAAACACAAAAGCTACAGGTAATCAGACATATTTCTGTAAATGTCCTGGTCACTCTTTCTAAACTAAGTTTTACTTACTAGGTTATTTATTATGTCTTGGGTATTGTTGACAGTTTAGAAATATCCTCATCTAAAGAAAGACTGTTTCCTTTATAGTATGACTATCTGAGAGAGAATGGAAGTTAAGGCCTGTGATGAAGGTAGGATCAGTAACACTGTCAGAATTAACATATGCAGAGAAGAAAAAATGCTGCCTTGGGATAATACATTATTCTTTGCAAATCAATGTGGTACTATTCAGTACATTAGAAAAGCTAAATAGAACCACAGGTCCATTTGGGGCAGTATCATTCACCAGGTAGACCAAGCCTTGTTAAGTAATCGAAGAAAACTGAAGTATACTTCTCATAGATATTTTTTAAAAGGCTTTCTGAACAAAAATAAATTATATTTTAAAATTATATAATGTATAAATTAATATAAGACAGCAACTGTTAATGGTCAGTTAATAGGTATCCTCTTTGTTTTTCCCCTTTCATCTCCACTGTAATTGCTTATTTTTTCCTTTTCATGTCTATCAGTCATTTTGAAACTGGTAATCTGATTCAAGTTAAACAATTTTCCTTTTAAATCTAGAAAATAAGCTAAACACAAAGTCATTATTTTATAGTATGCTTCCACTTACTCTAAGAGTTCAGAAACAAATATCTGGATAACTTTCTGTTAACTGAGAAAGATAATCTTTCCTTCAGTATTCCTTAAAGTATGCAGAATTTATACTATAATTTTATCATTTAAATAAGTGATATAATGGTTTGACTCACCCCTTTCACTGGATGCATGACTTTTCTGAACATCTGTATGAACACATTGTGTAAAGTCATGATAAACCTAAGGTTAACTGATAACAAGGAAGTACGTCTTTTGAAGTCTAACAAATTTATAAATTACAAGGGGAAAATGCAATATAAACAAAAGTTACACGAGATTCGTAGAGGATTTTCCTCATAGAAATTAGATTATCTATGAATTACATGGATTTGATGTTTCAAACTTACAAGAAAAACAAAACCCCACAATTTCAAACACTGTTTTGCCTTTTTTTTTGTTCTGATACATTTGTAGTCTAGATTACAATCTAGTAAAGAAACTATAATAGTAGAAATTCATTAAAATTTCCAACTAACTTAAAAACTTATTAAGATCTCATGACCAGATACTTTAGCTAACAAAACACCAGGTTTCTTAGTTAATACAAAAGAATCCTTCTTTCAATAGCCTTGCGACAAATAGGACATTCACTCATGCGATCTCCACAGAGCTGGCATGTTCCATGGCCACAGAGGAAAATCATATTCTTCAGACGATCCAAACATACAGGGCACATTGTCTGCAATGTGAGATAACAAAGTAGTAAATGCTCACACATTTTATATTTGGAAAGTGTAATATGTAGTAATTCTGCTATACCATTGTCTTATTTTGGCCAAATTATCTTTTATTGCTTTTTAAAAGTAATTTTTAAAATTTTAAAATAAAATGTCATTCATATACGAAAGAAATATTGGTTGTACTGTTGGGATAGTGTAAAAGGTACTATATAAAATATATATTAATACTGTACTTGGGACCAGCAGGTGGCATAATGGGTAAGGCGCTGGACTCCCATGTCGATCACAGTTCAAGTCCCAGACCAAGTGGCTTGAAACTCATGCCAGGTGCATGTGCGTGCAGCATGCGTGTCCAAAATCCAGAGAGGTGAAAGGAGGAGATGGGATTGTGATGTGGCCAACCCCTCAGGCTTTTGGTCTCTTGTCTCTCCAGTGAGCACACGCACCTTTACTAACATAAAAACCTCTCAAGTGTATGTGTGTGTATATATACACACACATATATATGTATGTACATATGTATATATATACACACACACACAGAAATGTGCACAAATGACACGGTTAAAGTTTAATAAAATTTCACAAACTGATCAAACTCATGTAACTGGTATTCAAATGAAGTGGAGTATCAATACTCTAGAAGCTTCCTAGTCGTCAGCCAAGAAAACCCCTACCTTTGACCTGTTACACTTTTCAATTTGTTTTTTTTTTTTTACCAAGTTTGTATTCCCAAACAATATCCTGTCCAGTTTTATTAATGACAAACCACTTTCCAAAGTGTTTTTACTAATTTATATTCCCACCAGCAGTGCACGGGTTACAGCTGCTATACATTCTGCCTAACATTTGAGACTGACTAACATTTTCTCTAATCTAATAGGTATGAAAATGTACCTTGTTGTGCTTTTGTTTGTTTTTTGTTTTTTTTGCTATAGGACACATGTGCTCCTCAGAGAGTGAGAAAATGAAAGTGAGAAATCTCTCTCCACAGGTAATCACTTCTCCATTCCTCTTTGGCAATCTTAGGCATGCACACACACATGCCTGGCATGATTTTCAAGCCACTGGATCTGAGACCCGAACCACATAAGTCAGCCATGTAGGCTCCAGGGCCTTAACCTCCACACCACCTACTGACCCCCTCATTCTGGTTTTAATTTTCATTTCCCAATCACTAATGTAGCTGAGTATTCTTTTTTTCAAGTTTACTGGTCATCTGCGTATTTCCTACCTTTGAGAGTACCTGAATAATTTTTTAATCAAATAATTTTCAGTGTGAATATTCACATACTATAAGTGTATACTAATGTAAGCTACATTTACTACAGGAAAAAAACCTAGTAATTTTATAGCAAAATATTAAGTGCCATTCTCAAAGTCGCCATTTAGCAAGAAGCAATCATTACTACCTGCTCTTTAATGTCTTGTAACTGTTGCTGTAGCTTTTGCACATCTGCATTGACATTGGTATTATCCTTGTCTTTTTGTAACACTGGAATATTTCCACTTGCTGTAATACAGAAAAACATTCATTATTACTATTTTGACATGAGACTTTTTGTTTCTAAATTATTACTGTTCATTAAACATTTACTAGAATCCCCTTCAAGAAATTTTTCATACTTGTACCACAGATATAGCAGTGACATTTGTGTTTCATATTCTTTCATTTGTAATCTTCAAAAATAGGTTTTCACACCAATTTTTAATTACATTAAAAGTGTCAGAAAATTATCCACACACCAATTTTTAGATTTTCCAAGGCTGTACTTGCATTCTTTGGCAAGTTCACAGGTTTATTTTATGCTTTTTCCTCTGCTCCTCTCTGGCTCCAGGATGGAGCCAGCACAGGAGGTTAGCCAGCTTGGGCGGCAAACCCTTATCCTCCTTCCTTCATGCCCAGATGTCCTTATTACTAATCTGAGATGAGAAACTTAAGAAAAGCCCAATCAGAAGTCTGCTAAAATGGAGGGAAATCTTTTACTTCATCTTTCCTACTCTCTAGACTTTTGCTCTTTTATTCTAGTTCATCTGTCCCTAGGTTTTTTATTCCGCTGTATTTGTGATAAAGACAAAAGCCTTGGGCGATATGGCTATATTCACATTCTTCCTCAACCTGTTCACAAAACATGTTCACAGAACAAAGAAATCACAGAAATCGTCTAGCAAATTTATACAAGTAGTAAAAAGATGAAAATATTTTTAAGCAGCCATACTATTGCAGAGCTTAAAGACAAATCATTTACTTTTCGCCTTCCCACTTGTTCTCTGGGTTACACTTCAGTTTACCTATAGTTACTCTGTTCCAAATAATTCTATTCTATAAAATACTTAAGTGAACTAGGTGAGCCTGCTACATAAAGGAATTAGGTTCATACTTCTGGAAACTGAAGAAATAATTGGAAATATGATGTCCACCATCAAGATACACTAAACTTTATCTTGAAAATACAGAGCAAATTTTTTAAGCAAAATCACAGTAATTTTCTTTATACCATACAAAGAGGTTTCTCAAAAGACGAATGTTTGAAAGTTCTAAAGTCATACCACAAACTAGAAAAATGTAATTTGGGGTTTCTAATAACGTAACAAGAGCACTAGAAAATCTGTTCCCCATCAATCCAAGTCACAAAGCTTTTGTTTTATATGATGAAATGTACTGTGAAAAGCAATATTCACACAAGTCCCACGAGAACACAAATAAGAAGTGTAAGAAATTCATGTACAGATATCATCAGAGACATCTTCTGAACTCTTCCCTCCACAGCACATAATAAAAGGCACTCTCCGCTCCACGACTGCCCGACACTGCACACACTTTTTCATCAGGCTAGCACAGTCTGGAAAATAGTAACATAGAGACTTACTGTAAAATAGAGCATGAATAAGAATATTTCCTTTTTCTGATAATTCAAACTTATCACTAAAATAAACATTAAACAGTTTACGTCGATATACAATCCTACCTCCTTAGAATGTTATAAGCCTAAGAAAGAGTATTCTCCATTGGGGGCCTCTAGAATACAAAGCATTAAGAAAACAATGACATTTTCTAACACAGTTGAATAGATTGTGGAATTTATATTTTTAAAAATGTAAGATGGTAAATATTTCTTTTATGTGTTTTTTGTTTTTGTTTTTTTAAGAGGCACATGCACTCACTGGAATGAGACAGATACAGAGACAGTGAGAGGTAAATTGAGAAATCAACCCCCCCCCCCAGGGGCATGGCCATGCTGCAATCCCAGGATCTTGAGCATGCATGCACACGTGCCTGGTGTGATTTTCAAGCCAATGAGTCAGGGGTTGAACCACGGTCGGTCATGTGACATAAATGCTATGCTATATGTTGTCCATGAGATGGTAAATATTTCAAGGTTTTAAGTCTTCAGAATAAAAAAAGGAGATACCCTTGACATTTTTTTTTTAAGTGATTTTTGCTAAAGGGCATGTACGCTCACCAGAGAGACAGAAATCCAGAAATCATCCCCTGGGGGGACAGGCATGCCACAATCCTTTCTCCTCCATTCTCCTTGTGGGATTTTGGGCATGCATGCAAGTGTGCCCAGCATGAATTTCAAGCTGCCAGGTCAGAGACTCAAACCATCATCAGCCACGTGAGAGTCCAGCACCTTAACCACTAAGCCATCTGCTGGCCTCCACAAATTTCAACTAATATTAGAATTGGTTACATGATGGTTTTCTAAAAATATTCTCTATTATAAATGATTTATCTCTAAAATTCCTAAATTATATTGACAATTTTCACCCTTCTTTTTCAACCGACTGATACAATCAACATGGAAACTGCCTCCTGACTACTTTTTCCATGTAGCAGTTCGGGGAAATATCAAAATAGTTTCCTAACAGTCTGGCTTTTTAATAGTTCATTTGAAACATCTATCAGTTACATGTCAGTAGAATACATTTCCATTCCAAGAAGCAACACCCTAGGCACAACTGTATGTTGTGGGTTGTTAATATTACCTTATATCTAAAGTTGTTAATTACAAAGTAACACACAAAACTTCGTAGCATTTATTTATTATGAAAATATACTCCACATCTGGGACCAGCAGTTGGCGTAGTGGCTGTGTCGCTGGACTCCCATGTAGTCGAGCGCGGTTCGAGTCCCGGACCCAGTGGCTTAAACTCACGCCGGGTACATGTGCGTGTGTGCCCAAGATCCCAAGAGGAGAATGGAGGAGAAGAGATTGTGGTGTGGCCATCCCCCCTGGGGGGGTAATTTCTCGCTTTCTGTCTCTCTGTCTCTCTCTGTCTTTCTGGCGAGCGCACGTGCCCTGTAGCAAAAATCTCTCCAAAGAAAGAAATATATATATATATATATACACACACTCCATATCTCAGTTTATCTATCAGATGTCTTTCATTTTGTTGTTTATTTTTAAAATATTTATTTATTTATTTATTATTTTTAATTTGAACAGAGAAACAGAGAGGGAGAAAGAAAGGTAAAATGAGGAAGCAAGCTGCCAGGTCCAAGACTTGGACTGCTGTCAGCCATGTGAGAGTCCAACACCTTAGCCACCTTGACACCTGCCAGTCTCACTGTTGTTCATTTTTAAAATAAATAAATAAAAACCATGCAGGATATGCAGAGGTAACTTATGACAAAACACTAAACTATGAAGTTTGGTTGTTATAGTGTTTCCATTAAATCTTTCTTTAGTTCTTCCAAAAGGGATATATAATCTCTCCTTCTTTCAACTTAAGAGAGCACTTTATTCCCTTTCAAGACTCCAACACATTCAACATTACTGTGATATAGGTAGTAGAAAACTACTGTACGCTCCTTGAGAAAAGGTTATTTTCCACCTCAATTTCATCTTCCCTAGCAAATAATGTTTAAGAACATATTTGTAAAACAATATACTTCTTAGAAATGCTCTGAAGTGGGCCAGCCCATGGTGTGGTGGTTGGGGTGGCTGGATCCCACATAGCCAACTGTGAGGTTCAAAGTAGCTCAAGAAAGGGAACTCACCAGGCACCTATGTATGCACAGCCAAAATCCCAAAAGGAGGGAGAAATGGACGAGAAGAAATTGCCCCTGCAGAAAGTGCTTTCCCACTTTCTCCCCTCTTTTCCTCTCTTTTTCTCCCCCCCTTGTAGGTACACCTGCCTTCTAACAAAATTTTTTTAAAAAGAGAGATATTTAGAAGGTAAATGAAAAAATACAAAGAAATTAAAATGTCTAGTACACTATTAAGAGCTCAACAAAATTTAGCCATTGTTAAATGGCTTGTTACTTTTAAAGCAAAGACCACGTAAAAATTCTGGGACACTACTAGGAAAAAATATTACATTACAGTTTCAGAATCTGTGTTATCAACTAATGATTATAATCATAAATCAAGTCTTATATAGGTATGACAGGGGTCAGCAAACTACAGCCCAAATCCAACCCGTCACCTGTTTTTTGTAAATAAAGCTCTATTGCAACTTAGTCACACCTATTCATTTACGTATTTTCCATGGTTTTGTAATACAATGGCAGAGATGAGTAGTTGGAAAGAGTTCAATGGTTGTTACTACAGAGGAGGTGGCCTATGAAGGCAAAAATAATTACTACTTATTCCTTTACAAAAAAAGTCTGCTAACTTCTAGTGTATGAACACTTAAGTAACCTAAGTCCACTTTATTTAAGACAGAAATTTTTTGACAGTTTATAATAGCCATTATAATAGTCTTTGATAAACAGAAATGGTTACTCAAGGCAGAATGTTTTAACAGAAAACTCTGACGCTTTCCTTAAATAATTTACTTCTAAGAATAGAAAAACGGGGCCAACACATGGCCTAGCAGTTGCTGTATTGGACTCTCACATGGCCGGACACAGTCCAAGTCCTAGATATGGTGACTTAAAAAACTCACACCAGGAGCATGTGCATGCATGCCCAAGATTCCAGAAGGATAATAAAGAAGGGACTGTGGCATAGCCATCCCCTTCTGGAGGATGATTTCTCATTTTCCCTCTCACTGTCCTGTCTCTCTCACTCCAGTGAACACATGCAACTTAAGGCCAAAAAAAAAAAAAAAGGAAAGAAGAATGGCAGATGGATGGCATAGCAGCATAGCAGTTACATCACAGGACTCCCGCATAGCCAACCACGGTTTGAGTCCCGGAGGTGGTGGCTTCTAACTCACACCGGGTATGTGTGCGTACATGCCCAAGATCCCAGGAGGAGACTGAAGGAGAAGGGACTGCGTCATTGCCATCCCTCTCCACCCCTACCCCTCCGCCTGGAGATGATTTCTTACTTTCTCTGGCACTGTCTCTGTCTCTCTCTCTCTTGTACACACGCTCTAAGGCAAAAGCCTCTCAAAAAAAAAAAAAAAAAAAACAACAAGACTTAAAGCAAATCTATGACAATAAAACAATCACAACTTATACATATTTTAGTCGAACAGTGTATTGATAATCAACACCTACTGACTGAACTATTTTATAACAAGAAACATCATGCTTTACCATGGGCAAATTTAAACAAGGTATAAGTTGTCAAATCTTCACCGACAAAATGAAAAAAAGCAAATCAAAGGAGATTATTAAACACTGTATGACCTTGCAAAGAATAAGGCAGATATATAAACCAAGCCCTTAGGGGCCAGCAGGTAGTGTAGTGGGTCAGTGCTGGACTTCCCACATGGCCAACCACTGTTTGAGTTCCAGACCCAGCAGCTTGAAAATCATGCTGGGTACGTGTGCATGTGTGCCCAAAATCACAAAAGAAGAATGAAGGAGAAGGGATTTTGGTGTGGCCATCCACCCTGTAGGGTAATTTCTCACTCTCTCCCCACCCCCATTTCTCTCTGATGAGCACACAGGCCATATGGCAAAAACCTTAATAAAAAAAAAAAAAAAAAAAGTTCTTCAAGAAAGTAAGTTTAAGAAAAATTTTAAAACATCTTTTAAGCTTTACTATTTCCCTCACAAAGAAAATTTTTGTTTCTATTTTTGGAGAGTTTTTTCTTATTGGGTGTGTGCGCTCACCAGAAAGACAGAGAGAGACAGAGAGATAAAAAGCAAGAAATCACCCCCCAGAGGGGATGGCCACGCCACAATCCCTTCTCCTCCATTCCCACAAAGAAAAGATTTCTATAAGCTCTCCTGATGTAAACATTAATAGAAGGTCAGAGGGACCAGCAGTTAGCGTAATGGCTATGTTACTGGACTCCTATGTAGTCGACCACAGTTCAAGTCCCGGACCTGGTGGCTTAACCTCACACCCGGCACGTGTGGGTGCATGCCCAAGATCCCAAGAGGAGAATGGAGGAGAAGGGATTGCGGCGTGACCATTCCCCCCGGGGGGTGATTTCTCACTTTCTGTCTCTCTGTCTCTGTCTGTCTGGTGAGCGCACGTGCCCTATAGCAAAAACCTCTCCAAAAAAAAAAAAAATAGAAGGCCAAAAATTATGACTCTAAATGGTTGTTACGTATTCTCTGGTAGTGGGGAAAACATGCAGGAGGCAATATTAAGATGAAGAAAAAGATGTACTGATTTTATAGGTGACAAAGGCAAATCTACATGTTTTTTTCTAGTTTGCTATAGATGTGTGTATGCCTGGGGGGGGGAGGAGAGAGTGAAAAACCACTCCCCTCAGGGGATGGCCATGCCGCAATCCCTTCTCCTCCATTCTTTTCTTGGGATTTTGGGCACATACACACACATGACCTGTGTTTTCTTTCAAGCTGCTGGGTCTGGGACTCCAACTGGTTTTTCAGCCATGAGGGATCCAGATGCCTTAACTACCACGTCACCTGGCTGGCCCCTAGACTAAATATTCATTTTTTAGAAATTAATTTCTATCATGTGAAAAAAAGACAATTTTGTAGCTTAGTGGTTAAGGGAGCTGGATGCCATATGGCAGACTACGATATGAATCCCAGCCCCAAGGCTTAAACAATATGTCAGGTACATGTGTGTGTTTGCCAGTAATCACTAAAGGCTAAAGAGATGGAGGAGAAGGGTAACTATGGTGTAACCACACCCCACTGGAAGTACTTTCTTCTCCCCCTCTGTCTCTCTAGTGAGTGCACACACCCTCTGGCAATTAAAAAAATTCTAGCTAGCAGAACACTGAACATTCAGTAGTAGAACACTGTACATTCAGTCTCTAGTGCTCAGAAGTATGAAGAGAAATAGCTCGCATTCTAGTACAGAGAAATAAATGGAGGCTACAAGAGGCCCATCAACATTCTGTTCATAGTTACCAAAAAGCAAAAACAAAACCTCAAAGATGTCAATTTTTATGCCAGGGACAATGTGGGAGGAGGATGGGTCATAGCAGAGGGAGGGGGATGGGGAATCTAGGATGGCAAAACAAAAGGCAAGGTATGCAGGACATAAGAATTGGGAAATTATTTGCTGAGAACATGTATATTGATGTGCTTGATTGAGCCAATGCACAGTGTATTTTGGATGGAAAATTCATTTGTGTGTTGTGATGGAAAAAAAAATTATAATAAAAAATAAATTATTTTAAAAAAAAAAAAGGAACTCCAGAGGGAACCAGAAAAAAAAAAAAAAGTCAATTTTTGTCACTTCTGATTTTTCTAACAACACTAAAGAAGGTGTATTCAAGCTACTTACTTTCACAAGCACACATGTGTCCACAAGGTTGAAAAAGAACAGCTGCTTTCTTGTCAGAGCATACCACACATTCTTCAATCTACGGAAAGGTTACAGCATAGAGTGAACATCTACAGATGAATCCAATAACTCTACCCATTCCATTTATGCCCAAAAGTATTCCTCTGTACACACCAGGCACAAAGAAACTCAAAACACACTTTTCCTCTGTTCTTTACTATCCTGTTTTTGTTCTCTTATCTTTTATACATTGTAGCTCAACAGGTACTATTTTCCCATTAGTCTCCCCACATGTCCTAAAGAACTGTATAGTTTAAAAGCTCTACTGGGATGAGCAGGTAGTGTAATGTTTACATGCTGGACTCCCATGTAGTCATCCACAGCTTGAGTCCTGTACCCAGCAGCTTAGAACTCATGCCAGGTGCATGTATGTGCATGCCCCAAATCCCAAGATGAGAACAGAGGAGAAAGAACTGCAGCATGGCCATCCTCGGGGTGGGGGTGGGGGGGAGATGATTTCTTGCTTTCTTTCTTTGTCTCTCTCTAGTAAGCACACATGCCCTATAGCAAAAAATCTCTTAAAAAAAAAAAAAAAAAAAGGACCAGCAGATAGCGTAATGGTTATGTCACTAGACTCCCACATAGTGAAACACAGTTCAAGTCCCATATCCAGTGGCTTGAAACACACCAGGTGCATGTGTGTGCATGCCTAAAATCCTGAGATCAGGATGAAGGAGAAGCAACTGCAGCATGGCTATCCCCTCTAGGGGACGATTTCTCACTTTCTATCTCTCTGTCTCTCCAATGAGCACACACACCCTGTAGCAAAAATTTCTCTTAAAAAAAGAAAAGGACTAGCAGATGGCGAAATGGTTACATCGCTGGACTCCCACGTAGTCAACCACAGTTCAAGTCCCAGACCCAGTGGCTTGAAACATGCCAGGTGCATGTGTGTATGCGCCCAAAATCCTGAGGAAAAGAATGGAGGAGAAGGGACTGTGGCATGACTATCCTCCCTGGACGGGTAATTTCTCACTTTCTGTATCTCTCTATCTCTCTCTCTCTCTGGAGAGTATGCCCTATAGCAAAAATCTCTCCTAAAAACAAACAAAAATCTCTATTACTTCTGAAGTCAAGGCACCCAAGGCAGGATTCAATTTTCTTTTAACACTACTTTTGAGAAAAAAATAAAGGGACAATAAACAAATAAAGTATTTTTTAAAATAATGAAAAAAGATAGATTTCTAACATTAATAAAAAATCTAACCAGGGCCCAGCAGGTGGTGTAGTGGTTAAGGAGTTAGACTCTACTTGGCCGACCACAAGTCCAGGTCCAAGACCCAGCAGCTTGAAAATCACACTGGGCACATGTGCATGTGTGCTCAAAATCCCACGAAGATAATAGAGAAGGGACTGCTGCGTGGCCATCACCCCGTGAAGTGAGTTCTCACTTTCCCTCTCTCTAGCAAGTACACATGCCCTATGTAAAAAAAAATTAAAAGAAAAAAAAATCTAGCCAGATTAATCATATTGTGAACCCTGACAGGGATTTTTCTGTTTACCCACAGTCTAAGGAACTCTACCTAAAAGTACCTCTTTCCTGGCTGGAGCCCCAAGTTTTGGACTATTCTTTTTTCCCTTAATCTGTATATTACAAACACAAGACTTCCACAACCTATGAATAATTCTCCCCAACTTTACCCCCTTTTCATCTCCACTAAATCTGAGTTTTGAGTGCATAACTATTAACCACTATGGCTCTGATTTCCTCTATCCCCACCCCATACCACTGCCTTTGACTTCAAATCTACCTTTCACATATTCTTTTTTCTTTTCTTTTCTTTCTTTTCTTTTCTTTTTTGGAGAGTTATTTTGCTATAGGGCGCATGCGCTCGCCAGACAGAGAGAGACATAGAGACAAAAAGCGAGAAATCACCCCCCAGGGGGGATGGTCACGCCACAATACCTTCTCCTCCATTCTCCTCTCGGGATCGTGGGCATGCACGCACATGCGCCCGGTTTGAGTTTAAGCCACCGGGTCTGGGGTGCAAACCGCAGTCGACTACATGGGAATCCAGCGACAGCTATTACGCTAACTGCTGGTTCCCCACATATTCTTCTCCCTTCTAACACACAGTCACATTCTGCCATCTTTTGTGTCATTTAATACAGTACTGTTCAAAAATTATCATTACTCACCTGTAACATCATCTAAACAATGTCCAAAAAATGATGGACATCAATTACTTAAAACATCATCAAAGCAACTAAATATGGCATGTTCCCTCTTTCAATGAACTTTCCCAGCTTACACCTAGCACATGCACAATTTGTACAGTTGCAGTAAAAGTGGCAAGGAGAAAGACATGCTTAGCCAGGATCCATCAGGACTCTGGATTCAAAATCTATCTTTAGGCCAGACTTGTAACCTAGCAGACCACAGTTCTAGTCTTGGCACCGGTGGCTTGAAAAACACACTACGAGCTTGTACATGTATTCCCAAAATCGGCCCAGCAGGTGGTGTAGTGGTTAAGGAGTTAGACTCTACTTGGCCGACCACAAGTCCAGGTCCAAGACCCAGCAGCTTGAAAATCACACTGGGCACATGTGCATGTGTGCTCAAAATCCCACGAAGATAATAGAGAAGGGACTGCTGCGTGGCCATCACCCCGTGAAGTGAGTTCTCACTTTCCCTCTCTCTAGCAAGTACACATGCCCTATGTAAAAAAAAATTAAAAGAAAAAAAAATCTAGCCAGATTAATCATATTGTGAACCCTGACAGGGATTTTTCTGTTTACCCACAGTCTAAGGAACTCTACCTAAAAGTACCTCTTTCCTGGCTGGAGCCCCAAGTTTTGGACTATTCTTTTTTCCCTTAATCTGTATATTACAAACACAAGACTTCCACAACCTATGAATAATTCTCCCCAACTTTACCCCCTTTTCATCTCCACTAAATCTGAGTTTTGAGTGCATAACTATTAACCACTATGGCTCTGATTTCCTCTATCCCCACCCCATACCACTGCCTTTGACTTCAAATCTACCTTTCACATATTCTTTTTTCTTTTCTTTTCTTTCTTTTCTTTTCTTTTTTGGAGAGTTATTTTGCTATAGGGCGCATGCGCTCGCCAGACAGAGAGAGACATAGAGACAAAAAGCGAGAAATCACCCCCCAGGGGGGATGGTCACGCCACAATACCTTCTCCTCCATTCTCCTCTCGGGATCGTGGGCATGCACGCACATGCGCCCGGTTTGAGTTTAAGCCACCGGGTCTGGGGTGCAAACCGCAGTCGACTACATGGGAATCCAGCGACAGCTATTACGCTAACTGCTGGTTCCCCACATATTCTTCTCCCTTCTAACACACAGTCACATTCTGCCATCTTTTGTGTCATTTAATACAGTACTGTTCAAAAATTATCATTACTCACCTGTAACATCATCTAAACAATGTCCAAAAAATGATGGACATCAATTACTTAAAACATCATCAAAGCAACTAAATATGGCATGTTCCCTCTTTCAATGAACTTTCCCAGCTTACACCTAGCACATGCACAATTTGTACAGTTGCAGTAAAAGTGGCAAGGAGAAAGACATGCTTAGCCAGGATCCATCAGGACTCTGGATTCAAAATCTATCTTTAGGCCAGACTTGTAACCTAGCAGACCACAGTTCTAGTCTTGGCACCGGTGGCTTGAAAAACACACTACGAGCTTGTACATGTATTCCCAAAATCCTAGGAGACTAGAGAAAAGATTATTGACATGCACCCTCAGGCAATTCAAAAGAACTACTTCTAACACTAACAGATAACCTAAAATTGTTGAACTACAACTTTTTTTATCTGACCCATAAAGAACAATCCTTCTTTCATAAGGTGGTAAAGAATAAATCAGATATTATGGTTTATGTTTGTTTATTTGTTTTTAGGTTTTTGCCACAGGGCATGTGCATTTGCCAGAGAGAGACAGAGACAGAGGGAAAGTGAGAAATCACTCCCTAGGGAGGATGACCATGCCATAGTCCCTTATCTCCAAACTCCTCTCAGGATTTTGGGCATGCATGCACACTCGCCCAGTGTAATTTTCAAGCCACCAGGTCCAGGACCTGAACCATGATCGGCTATGTGGGAGTCTAACACCTTAGCCACTACAACACCTGCTGGCCCCATGAATTTGTTGTTGTTTAGGACTTTTTGTTCGAGGTTTTGCCATAGGGCACGTGCACTTGCTAGAGAGAAAGAGAGAGAGAGAGTAAAAGAAAAAGTAAAAAATTACCCGCCAGGGTGGATGGCCATGTCACAATCCTTTCTCCTCCTAGGATTTTGGGTGAACGCATGCACCTGGCATGATTTTCAAGCCACCAGGTATGGCACTTGGACCATAGTTGGCCATGTGGGAGACTAGAGCCTTAACTACCATACTACTTTCTGGCCCCCCATAAACTGTTTTTAAAGAGGTTAAAACATTATGGCAAATTAAAGAACATTTACTTAACCACTCCCCTATTATTTAAAAAATAAAATCTATGCAATGAAAATTTTCCCCACTTATGGATTATTTACTCAGGTTATACTCCCAGGAGTGGAATTACTAAATCAAAGAATGTTGTGCTAGTGGTTTATACAGACAGTCAGGGTGTCCTTCCAGTCTCTAGCAATGCTCACTTTTCTTCTTAGCATTTATTTAATTTTATTTTTGCTAATTTGACAAGAATAGTTAATGTTAATTCATATTTTAATTAGTATTTCTCTAATTGCTAAAGAGATTAAGCTTGTTTATTCTCAGACTTTCCTCTAAATAGTAGTTTTATCATTTTTCTTCAAGGAAGATGTTCATTATCCTTTGACCACTTGGGGTCACTATTTCCCTATATTAAAAGTCTCTGCAATCAACCTGATAAATTTGTTGAGTATTTTAGTTTTTCTACTTTTCTGCAGGTATGAAAATTTCATAATTAAAAAAAAAACTGTAAACTTATAAATTCTTATAACTGTATTCAGAGGGTCTGAAGGGAAGGACAGCAAATTCTTTTCTCACTACCTCCTTTTCATCAACCCTCCCTTGCATACACTGACTACTACTTTGTGAATCATAACACAGAGGAAAGAATAGGGGCTTAAGAACCAAGAGACCTGTGTTCAAGCACCAGCTGTCAGTGCACAGCTCTGAGCTTCAATTTTATCAAGTGTAAATACTGGAAGTGGACTAGATGAACAATGAAAACTCTACTTTGACAACCTGGGGGCTCCCAACTCAATCAAAATTCTGCTTTTGACAACCTGGGGCTCCAAACTCCTACTCATTTTACAGCTCTCTAAGGGCATCTACAATATCCTACATGGCAGAGTAGCTTTTAATCCAAGTCATAGTTTGCTAATAGAAGACAAATTTTTAGGAGGTAATTATCATACACATTTTTGACTTAACTATAAAACTCAATAAAAGTTTATTGAAATAGGGCTTAATCTAAGAAAAGTTCCAAGTACTTTTGTACTTGCAAAATACACAGACCAATCTAAAAACAAAAGACTGGAGACAGCCACAGTGGTGCAGTGGGAGCTGAGCACTCGGAGGTGCGGGACCCACACTGGAAGGCCTCAGTTTAAAGTTCTGAGGTCTCTCCCTGTATAAGCAGGGGAGCCACATGAATGCTCACTGATTCCGTGGCCAGGGGGAGGATCACAGCAGGAAGACTCTGTTGCGGGTGTCTGTAACTTTCTCTGCTCTCATTATTTCTCTCTCTCATGGAAGAAATAAGTAAAAAAATTTAAAAGGAAAAGAAAAAGCTTAAATTTTCGTTTTTCTTTCTTTTGGTTTCCCAAACTGTTACTCTGTAAGCAGGTACCTAAAGCAATTTTTAAATACCAAGTATTGGGTTGTCAGAAAAGTCATAATGCTTTTTTGCATAGAAAAACAGAAAATACATTACCTTTGTCCTAGATTGAACTTGTTCTTTACAAATGAGGCATTTCTTGACTCGTGGAGAACATAAAGAACAAGTAGCGATATGTCCACATGGGCCAAAAAGAGTATCTCTCTTCATATCTGAACACACCATACACTCTTCTAAGGTTTCGGAATCATTACTAATCATAGAAGGACTTCGAGAACCCACTTGACCACTAGCAAAACAAATATTTCAAATCAAACTTACCAAAATATCTCTACAAACTCATTAATTAAAATGTTTTTAAAAACATCTAGGGTATCAATGGAATACGTAAAAACGGTGTTAGTCATGTTGAAAAATTAAATTAAGTTTTAATATCTATATGTGAAATGTTGATTATATATTTCTATTTATGTACATCTCCACATCTTTACAAATTTTTAGTACCATTCGAACTTCAAGTTGAATAAATCTTCAGCAACTTCACCAACAGAAAAGGGTACATCTTCTAACAAAGAAATCAAAAATGTAAGCAAAGAACTATTTAACGTAAAGAAAATGTAATTCAGAATTTGTTCTATTTATAAATAGCCAGCAGAGGAAGGCATAAAAATAAAACAAAAACCCTAATTAGTGACCATGTTAGCTACCCTAACTAAAGACAGCACAAAGCATCATCAGCGTCCACAACAGATAGAGCACTTTGGAAAATGTGACACTTGAGCTGTTTTTTCTGACACTTCTTTAAGTGAATCTTAGAGAACATAATATTCTATTACCAAAAAATTCCATTATCTTTAAGAAACATAGTCAAATTATATTACCACAAAACAGAGTACACCTATATAGATATAAGGCAGGGAAATATACATATCCATATAAGACCAACTACAGTGACAGAAAAGGGATATCCTCTTCCTGCCACAATCTTTAAAAACTCCTTAACAGGGAATCAGCAGTTAGCGTAATGGCTATGTCGCTGGACTCCCACGTAGTCGACCGCGGTTCAAGTCCCGGACCCGGTGGCTTAGAACTCACGCCGGGCGCATGTGAGTGCGTGCCCAAAATCCCGAGAGGAGAATGGAGGAGAAGGGATTGCGGCGTGACCATCCCCCCTGGGGGGTCATTTCTCGCTTTCTGTCTCTATGTCTCTCTCTGTCTGTCTGGTGAGTGCACGCGCCCTATAGTGAAAACCTCTCCAAAAAAAAAAAAAGAAAAAACCTCTTTAACATAAACAGATGAGGTTGAATCTTAGACCTCATTGTCAAGTTTTTGCTGCAGTAATTGATGCTTTTTATCTATATTATTTATAGATGCATACTGTCTTTCTGTAATTGGATTTTATGCTCTTTAAGCAAACACTTAAAGAAATGTATATACAGCACCACCTAATATTAACTTCACTCATAACATACCTCTATGTATAGATGCCAGAGAGATATCATTTCATCATGAACATAAATTTTTATTTTTTAATTATTATTTTTTTTTTTTTGGAGAGGTTTTCACTACGGGACGTGTGCGCTCGCCAGACAGACAGAGAGAGACATAGAGACAGAAAGCGAGAAATCACCCCCCAGGCGGGATGGTCATGCCGCAATCCCTTCTCCTCCATTCTCCTCTCGGGATCTTGGGCACGCACGCATATGCGCCTGGCGCAAGTTTTAAGCCACCGGGTCCGGGATGCGAACAGCGGTCGACTACGTGGGAATCCAGCGACATAGCCATTACGCTAACTGCTGGTTCCCATGAACATAAATTTTTAGAAAGGCAAGAGGACACAAAAGTCAAGGGACAACTACTAAAATGTTCAGTTCAATGACAAGAACCAGGTATAATGGGCAGTAATAGTTGTACAGTACTGTTTGGATAAAAAAGTAATGAGATGTCTATCTTTCCATGTCTATAACATCTCATAATTAATTGCATCATAAGTAATCATTAAATTCACTGACTTTTTTCTTTTTTAAGAGAGATGTTTACTATAGGACATGTGTGCTAGCCAGAGAGACAGAGAGAGACAGAAAATGAAAAATCGCCCCCTAGGGTGGATGGCCACACCACAATCCCTTCTCCTCCATTCTCCTGTCAGGATTTTGAGCATGCACACACATGTGCTGGCATGAGTTTAAAGCTACTGGGTCTGAGACTCGAACCACAGTTGACTATGTGGAAGTCCAGGGATATAACCAACATGCCATCTGCTGGTCTCAAAATCACTGACATATTTTACTTTCAGGAAGAAAATGTGAAATCATCATCTTCAGAAAAGACTCCTAGGAACTGGTTCATTCAGTCGTTCTTTTTTTTTTTCCAGTCCTTCATTAGTACTCACTGAGTGCCTGACAGGCAGCAGGGTGCTAGAATCGTTCAGACTTCATGTGAGGGACATACACTATCTATGGGATGTAAACTCTCTTAGGAAAATTCTACTAAAATTTTAAATATATGTAACACTAACCACAGCAATTTTACTAGTAAGACTTTTTCTTGTAGACAAATCCCTCTAATACACAGGAGTACATGAGGATTAGAATACTTTATCAAAGTTTCTTAGAATTTACACATAAAGCACTGCACTTAATAATGTAGGGAGTCAACATGAAATAAGAGACACTCTACCTGCTGCAAAATTTTCAAGGAAGAAAAACATAAAAGTACAAGAAGAGCACAAAGACTTTTTCAAGCAGTCAAGTCCTCCATTATGAAACCATGTAATACTCCATGTACAGAATATTAAGCTTTATGATAATAAAGATCACAAACCTGACTTTTTCCTTATGACACTTTGCCAGTGCTTTGCAGAGACTTGGATCGGGACAGAGATCAAGTGGTGACTGACCCTTCTTATTCCGAATGCTAAGGTCAGCGCCATTGGCTGCCAAGAAACAGGCAATAGAAGCTGCACTCTTCTTCTCTGCTCCCTGGGTTCCAAGTCCCATTATTAACTGAAATCAAATGAAAAGAGTCATGATTTCTCCTTAGGAATCTGCTGTCAATTCTTATTGCCAAGTAAGTATATGTATATATCTATATTTGTATGTGGAAAACACTTAAGAGTTTCAGTTCTAATATTACTCCTCTATCTCTTCTATTCCATTTCCTCAGGAATATAACTTGAGAACTGACCTATTCTCCTGCTGTAGAAGTGGACAAAAGGTAACTCAAACCAGTCAAATAGTCACCTACATGACTAGTTCAGGGATGAACACATTATCCATGTTAAGTCCATCAAAGCCAGTGAAACTCAGTAGAATTTCTGATTAAAATATTGAAGAAACAGAGACCAGCAGTTAGCATAATGGCTATGTCGCTGGACTCCCACATAGTCGACTGCAGTTCGCGTCCTGGACCTGGTGGCTTAAAACACGCCGGGTGCGTGTGCGTGCGTGCCCAAGATCCTGAGAGGAGAATGGAGGAGAAGGGATTGTGGCGTGGCCATCCCCCCTGGGGGGTGATTTCTTGCTTTCTGTCTCTCTGTCTCTCTGTCTGTCTGGCGAGCACACATGCCCTGTAGCAAAACACCTCTCAAAAAAAAATAAATAAATAAATAAATATAT